TTCGGCCCAAGAGAGGCCATGGCCTCGAGAGCCCCAACCCCGCCCTCTGGATCCGCCCCTGCACAGTCAGGTAAAATACCAATGCACGAATAAGACAAATATGCACTTGGTTATGCCGCACAATAATTACAACATTTTTAGACAGCAGAGACACGACCTAGAAACATGCTTTCTCCTCTGGTCTCCCTTATTACATGATAACGACTTGCATAGTCCCCTTGCCTAATCATTCGCGGTAACCTGAGGCATGTTTAAAATGTTGGCATCAGCTGATCACTCGCTTAAAATAGAGATGCATACTATGCTCATTTCGTGGGATTGCTCCCTTCCAACGAAGGCTTATTTTGTTTATTTGTCTCGTTTAATCAAAGCGCAAAGCTAGCCTTTACATGAATGAGCGATGTAATTATCCAATGAAATTGTTGCGTATGGTTGTTTGCAAAGGCGTAACGGATGACAATATTTGCGTGTGTTTTGGCGCGCAATCATGCGAACAAGGAATAAATGTAAGCTCCAACTCACAGAGAGCCAAGCGACCACCGTTTCACAGCGCTCATATCTTTGTTTGTAAGTTACTTGAAAAAACGCTATGCTCTCGCCTGACGAGGTACCTTGAAAAATAACGACATTCTTTTTAGCATGCAGTGCCGTTTCCGGAAAGACCGAAGTACTCAAAATTGTCATGTATGCTTGGAAAAGGCGCGCGCCGATGTTTTAAACGTAAGCCACATCTGGTCCCATCCTTTTTAGACACTGGCAAAACATATGATATTACATGAAGATACCGTATCCTCATGAAACTCCAGGAATATGGCAGGCGCGGGCATATGGTACAACTCCTTCGGAATTTCCTCAATGACCGGTCATTCAGATTCAGATTGGGGCATGCGCTGTCTGACGTTTATCTTCAAGAAAACGGCGCAACGCAGGGCAGCGTTTTCAGAATTTCTTCTTTTTTACTTTAACGATAAATGACATCGGGGCATGCTTCCCTCCGCATATCGGAGGCGAGCTGTTTTTGGACGACCTCGCAGTATGGTGTAGCACGCGACAACTAACGTCATAAGACGACAGCTATAGATGTGTGCTATGTTTGGAGGGATGGACTCCCGGAACAGCTTTCTTCTCCCAAAACGACGATTAGGCATTTTGGCAGATGCGGATAATCTGCGAGGACCCGCAGATATACGTGTACGTCGAGAGATCCCAGGCAAGTCTGAGGAGCGGTTGCTTGGACTACTGTTCGACAACAACAAAAAAACACTGACGAATGTATCACATTTTAAAAAGCTCAGAGCTAGATGCTTTAAGGATATGAACACTATTGTCAAAGTCGTTGCTAAGATGATGCGTGGTGCTCACAGTAGAACATCGCTCCTTCTGTACATATCAATGATTTGATCTGAGCCGGAATGGTGCTATCAACGCTATGACTATGTTATGTTGTTATAAACTGTACTTTTTTCGCCAACAGCACTCCACCAAGAGGCGAAGTCGCTCAAAGGAAATGTTTCAATATATCATGACAAAAGCTAAATTGCAAATATTGGTATTCTTTTGAAGAGGAAAAGGCTGCTCTGGACAGCGCAATTCCTTGTTCAGTTGATATGCTCTCCAAGTGTTATGGTTTGATTATGTCGTCATACATTGTATCACAGTAATTGACGGCCACTTGACGGCCGTTGGATCTGGAAATCGCGCTCACGAACGCCAGATATTAACGCCCCGACAATTGTATTTGGTTTTGCCTTGATCGCCTCGTGGCTATCGGAAGAGCAGGGTTTGAATGGCGTTATTATGACGTCATGAATGCCAAGGTGACTTTAAAATACTCACCCCGATTTGCCTTTCCCCGTTTTCATGAGCGTATAGCTCAGGAACTACCTAAGTCCTACGAAGGGCAGGATTACGAACAGTGCCGGAAGGTCTTCAAGATTGCTATTTCACTCCAAAACCCCATATGAGCGTGTAACACGCCCTTTAAATAGAATACAATAAATACACAGCGCATTTAAGTAAGAGCATGATTTAAGGATGACATATATCAAAGCTTACTGACGATGATGCAGAGTTAAAACATGCTTGATGACTTGAACTCAAAAAATGCCAAAATTGTCATGATATATATCCGCGGCAAGGTTGCAAGCTGGGAAGTGCTCCCGACGCTTGGCAGCTTACAAAACAAACCGCTCTGTACTGTCTGCATAGAAGCGCGAGGTACATCGAGCAGAGTTCGGATGCGGGTTGAGTGGGACGGCACAAGCAAGGGAAAACAGCTTAACAAGATTTGAGAGTGCAGTTTACCTGAGGAAACGTTTGTCAGAAAAAGTACATCGTGCTGGACTCTTCGCGCTGCTGGCCATGAGATTTTGAAATGAAGCAGAAATGAAGCAGTATGCTGCCTTAGAAACGAGAAGCTGCTTTCGCGGGGAGTGTGTGAGTAGGCAACCAAATAAGAAACTTTTGCTGCACTTGATCGACGCAGTGTGTGGAAATTGGCCGCCCCTGTCCGACCGAAGGACCGAATAAGGAAGTGCTCGATTGCCTCTACTGACTATGGCAGAGACATGTAAAGCGAAGGTTAGTTTGGTATCCAGTACTACGCCAAACTCTAATTTCACACATACGTTAAACCTCAGTTCTAACGAGAAAAAAAGCTTGGTCTGGACGGGAGCACCCCTGAGGACCATCATGAACGTTTTGGGTCTTACAGAGTTAGGGGTCAGCCCCCCCCCCCCCCCTGACGGACCGCGATTGTCGAGATCATCCTACAGCAGCAGGCCGTCAGGCGGGGACATAATTTCGCGGGAAATTTTACGTCATCGGCATACAAAAGACAGCCGGATTCAATGATGCACGGAGTATTGAAAAAGAAGGGGAGCTGAGAGTGATTTCCTCAACAAGAGTGGGCGATTTGACAAGAGTGATGGAGGCAAACCGTTGTAGTGCAGATGCCCTCAACTGGCATGAATGTTTTAACTTGTTGATTAGGGGCTCATGGTTAATGCTCTGAAAAAAACTGAGTGATTAGTGCAATGGCATTCGTCTGGTATCCGTCCGACAGGCCCTCCTTAGCCGATATCTGGTGAACACATATGTTTGTGCTGCACGAAGGCCTAGGAATGAAACCATGCTGAGATGGCACAACACAGGCGAGACGTGGCGGAACAGCTTATCATACGCAACCCGTTCCAGTATCTTTCTGAGAAGAGGAAGAGGGGTGTACTTCTGTAATTTGACGGTTCCTTTTTGTCGCCTTTCTTGATAGCTCGTATGATATTTGCCTGCTCCCACCTCTTCGGTAAAGCGCCGGAACTCAACGGAAGCTTTACATCTTGGTGAGCGAAGCAACTAACTTTTCCATGCACTCGGTGATTATGCGGGCACTGCTATTGTCAGTCTCACAGGCCTCGCTGGAACCGTCCAGAGCTGTCGCGGATCGCACAGCTACCTCAGTGACTCGCTGCTGGCTCAGTGACCCGACTGGATAGCACGACACATCAGGAGGGTTTTGCCCACGGATATCAGCAAAGTTCAGGGAGAAGGCGCCATTTAGGGCGGCAGCTCGAGCCATGCCATTCGACACGAAAATCCCCTCAGTTATACAAGACTGGTGATGTGCATGATCTCTTCGTGACGCATTTCAAAAACGATCGGCACCGTTTGGGGATGGTCTTGAAGTCGTCGGTGAGTTTATGTAAGTGTTGAGGGTGCTGGGATTTGGACACGGACTCAAAATCACGTCTCCTGTCCGTGAGCTCAGCAACGGTCGCCCCGTTGGGGTCTTCCCGCAGGCGTCCGAAAGCTGCTTCTTTCAGCCGGAGAGCAGCTCGCACCGCACCGTCCGACCGGGGGCAGTCGGCGCCGAAGGATCGCTGTGGGGACGTGGTCGACGATGGCCGACTCCAGCAGTTGCAGAAGGCGTCCGCTGCTTGGTCAACGCCGAAGTCATCCAGCAGCCCCCACAGGGTCAGGGAGGGACTCCGGCGCAGACCGTCGAAGTCAGCCCTCTTAAAGCCAAACGCAGTGCGCCGATTGACCAGAGGCCGACTGTTTACCAGCACACTGAGGGTGGCGATGGTCTCTTTGTGATCTGAGTTCAGAAGGCTCTTACACGTTGGCCTGTCACGGTATGACGGTACTAGGTCCAGACTGTTCTCTCCTCTCTCCTAAGAACTGGGACTGTTTCACACTTAAAGGCATACCAATAGTTACAACAAATCTTCCTCCATCATATCGGGTGCTTACCTCAATATGTTCAAAGGTGGAACACTCCCTTTTAGGCCCATACCAAAGCTACGCCGTGTTTTATATTGGTCCTGAAATGCTGCTCCGTTCAGTCCATGCAGATAGTCGCATTGGGATGTCACACACCTGCGGCATAAAAGATCCAGGCTCGTGTTTGCGTATTTGGAGAACGTCGACGAATGCACCGTATGCAACGCACCTCAAATCGACTCACTGCAAATACACGTACGCCGCGATCCCGCGGAAGCCGTAGCGTAAGAAGCCGCGATCCCGCGGAAGCCGTAGCACTCGGCGCGTAACTTCACACGCCTGGATTGGGCAGTTTTCAAACGGAGGCTGCGGCGTCCATTTCAGGTAGCCCTGTGAGGGGACCTGGTGGGCGCCTGCCCATCACAGTCGCAGTCCCTTGTCCCAGTGGCCTGCGGGTGACCCGGGAGCTGGAACAGCCTCCGCTGGCCGACCCAGCTGGGGCACGCGGATGACCCGGGAGCTGGAACAGCCTCCACTGGCCGACCCAGCTGGGGCACGCGGCCGTTCGCAGATGCCGGTCGGTGGCTGGCCGGTTCGATCAGCTGTCGGTCTGTGGTGTGGAACTACAGTGGGTTACGGCTGGGTCGGGAGAGGTCCTGCTCCCCCCCCCCCCCCGCGAAGCTACTGCCGCCAGCGAGGCTTTGTCCTATCTCACCTATGGTAGTCTTGCTTTGGTAATGCTGGACTTGATGAATAATGACCCCAGAAGAAAGGCCGCGACATGAAGATTTTCATTGTATTGAATTATCTGACAGAAGATAAGGAAGCATGATGCGCCATCCAACGATACAACTGAGGTCGACGGCTCTAAGTGCTTCAGGTTCCGCATATGTTCAATGCCTGTCTTACGAGGGGCTACAACTCTTACGAAGACTCGACAAAGCACCATCAGTCGGGATTCAACGAAGCCAGAGACAACACTTTGTCTAACGCAGGTCACACGGTTTCCTATTCACCCTGTGATATGCCATCCAACACGCCGTGCTTGGTGGCAGTGACCGGTGTGGGACACATGGCAGTGATAGCTAATTCGGCGGCGGTGCACGTGCGGAGAGGCGAGGCCTCTGCGCAGGTCGGCCACCTGTCTGAACACCCCCGCAGCTAGCGGGCGGTGGCGTGGCACCTGTGACGTCACTCTCTCACTACCGGCCAGTACCGGGCAGACACGCACGCGGACGCACGTGCGCCGATCGCACGCATGGGGCGTAACCACATATTCGGCCCCCTGGGGTGCGACGCCGATTTGAGTGGAGTTCGAACTGCTTTGAGGCTATTTTGTACGAGCGAGACGCAGCATGTCATGAAGATCTGCCCAGGTTGTAAGGGCGGGACCCCACGGATCCGAATGATGGTTACGCCCACGCGCTCTTCCACGCGCTCTTCCACGCCGCGTCCACCCAGCGCGCTCCACGGGAGACTGCTCGCCGCCGGCCGGCGCGTCGCACTCCGCACTCGGAATATATCACAAGAAGCTGAAGCCACACAAAGCGGTGGGCGCGGCGGGCAGAGCGTTGGCGCCGCGGCCCGGTCGGCGCCGCTACTGCGCCTCGGGCCGCTCGAACGGCGGCCTCTCGAACGGCGCCCTCTGGAACGGCGCCCTCTCGAGCGACGGCCTCTCGAAGGGCGCCCTCTCGAACGATGGCCGCCGAGCGCTGTCCTTCCGCCGGCGGCAGACGGCGCAGCGCGAGACGCGCGTGCGCAGGCTGCCCGCCTTCAGCGTCTGCTGCTCGGGCTTCCGGAACTGCATTGGCTCCTCGATGGTGGCCAGCCAGTAGGAGAAGGCGGTGGTGAAGTAGTTGCAGCGACCGTGGCCGTGGCATTCGATGAAGGGCGTGGGTCGGAAGTCCTCCAGGCAGGAGCCGGGAGAGACGAGCGACTGGCCACCGCCTTCGGCGCCCGCATCCGTGTGCTGCGGGCAGCGGCGGTCACGGTCAACGTCAGGGCAAAGGTCACGGTCGTGACGACGGCAGCGATCACGATCAAAGGGATGGCCACGGTTCCGCTGACGGCCACGGCCAAGGTAATGGTAGCAGTTATGGTTATACTAATAGTCACAGCCGCATTCACCACAATTGTTGCAGTTACGATCATAACACGGCTGCGGTTACAATAGAGGGAGGTGGTCACAGTGCGGTCACAGCCATGGTCCAGGTCTCAGTTACGAACGGTCCGAATTGCTGCCATTGTTAAGGAAATAGTAGTCACCGTTGTGGCCGTAGTAGACAGGCACTGTCACATACATTGTAGGACGTGACATGACAGTCACGCTAGATAGTGACCGTCAGGCGCACTGTCATAAATACAATCTGATTGATAGTGGTACGTTCACAGTTGCAGTCCGATTCGATATTTCCACAAAACAAAAGCAAAAGTGAGACACATGTGACACTTAAGTATTCAAATACGCCATTGCACACCAAAAAAATACTCGGAATTATCACGAACGGCCCTGAAGCGTCCAGGCACCTTAAAGCCCCACTTACTACTGCTACTATTACTGCAACTGCCGTAAACCAGCGTTGACTACCAAGTACAGTTCTGTTTTACTTTTCAGACGGCCTTTTTTCAAAACAGCACGAACGAAGCAGCTACATGTACGAAATGGCTGTTCGTGGCACCGCATTGCCGCCTCTTCCAGCCCGTCATTGCCGCCTCTCACCATGAGGAAGGAGTAGCCGATCCATATGCTCTCCCAGTTCCGCGGACACTCCGGCACGTCCATGCTCTGGCTGTGGATGGCTATCACCAGGGTGTCTGACTCGCACACCGAACACCTGCCGAACAAAGCAGGAGTGATATATTTCTCCGACGCTTTGCATTTGCTGACCAGTTACTCATTCCCTAACTCCAAACGTATTTGCGTGCCGTTGCATCTCTTCCTGGCCTGAAAAATGGGACCACCGCCATTGGGTGAAGAAAGACGCACGTGCATACCGTCTGCCCTTCCGAGACGCCTTTTGGTATGATGCGGAGTTACTTGCTGGCTTTTCGCACTTCCACAGCGGCCTGAACTTAATCGGCGGCACACGTGGAAGATAAATAGGTGTGTTTATCCCGTACTGTGGGACGCTGGTTGGTACTAGGTGTTGGCGCTTAGCGCGCAATGACAGTCTTGGCTAGGATACATTTTCTCGTGTTGCCAGTCATGAGCGGGCAACTGCTACATTTAATAAGCTAATTACATCTATATATACGCAATGGACTTACACTTATCAAAATCTGTACATGCCATAATTCCGTGCGTCTCACTAGGACAACAATGGTAGCGCAGTACGAGTGGGTCCGCCTGCTATTCCACAGAAGGTGATCAATCACATTACCTCGAGATGTACGGCTGGATTTCGTTCCCCCGGATCGGTGTCATCATCATGGGCATCGGCTCCGGCGTGCTCAGCCAGTAGCTGTAGTCGTTGCGCTGAGCGTACTCGCACTGGTTGTTGATGTTGCAGAACAGGTACGGCATGGTGGAGAATTTGCGCATGCAGGACCCTGGGGTGCCTAGGAGGATAACAGTTTGTAAGCTTGTGGGGAGTGACCTGTAGTCGACAGGGCGCTGGGTATCACTGCAGCGCCCTCCCGAAAATTGTGGGGAACCCTACCGTGAACCACTGATCCAATCGAGTCCACACCAGAGCCGAGCACACGAGCAGAGCACCGCTCGGCGCCGGCTGTGCCGCACTCACCGAGGTCGGCGCCGTGGGCCTTGGAGTTGCCGGTGACGTGCAGCAGCGAGAAGCCGTCCCAGAGGCGTACCGAGCCGGGCGGACACTGCGGCAGCGACGCCGTCTGGCTGTGGCGGGTGAAGTGGAAGCCACGCGGCCGCGGCGGCGGGCCCGCCGATGCCGGCTCGCCGGGGGCGCCGACCCGGCCGACTGGGCCCGACACGCCCGGGTTGCCGTCGCGGCCCGGCACGCCCACCATGCCCTTGAAGCCGGCGGCGCCGGGCCGGCCGGCCCTGCCGCTGCGGCCCTCGTCGCCCTGCAGGCCCGGCAGGCCGTCGGGGCCCGGCTTGCCCATGCGACCGCGCGCGCCCGGCCGACCCGGCGGGCCGTCCGGGCCTGGATCGCCGCGGCCGCCCTTCAGACCGAATGCGGCTAGGTCTCCGGGGAATCCCTTGAGGCCGGGCAAGCCGGGGAAGCCGGCCTGGCCCGCTGGGCCGGGCAGGCCGTCCAGGCCGCGCGAGCCCGGCCGACCGTCGAAGCCCGGCAGGCCCGGCACGCCGCTCTCGCCCTTGAGGCCAGGCCGACCGGGCAGGCCGGGCAAGCCCGGTCCGCCGCTGTCGCCCCGCTCACCCCTGTTGGGCAGTGGGGAACAGTGTTACACGGTAATAACTGGAATGCGGCTTCAGTTTTGCTGTGTGCCGCTTTCCTCTGTCACTTTGAAATCTAAATTATATTTTGCAAGATCTTTCAGTCCCTACCACGCACATACTCCTTTGCAAAACAAAGGAAAAAACACGGCAGGAGAAAATGTAACGAATGATGTAATGCGATATAACTAAAGTGCAGTGCAAAAAGCAGGTCCAGTTCATGACCACGTAGCAGTAAACTAGCAACATTCCAAAGGCCACATCACCGGGGCTGCTGGACACAGCCTGTGCCAACTCACGCTAGTCCTGGGAAGCCCGAGAAGCCGTCATCGCCGGCCTCGCCTGGTTGTCCGGGAGTTCCGGCCGGGCCCTGATCACCGGGCAGGCCGTCTAGGCCGGGCCGGCCCCTGGCGCCGGGCAGGCCGTCGCTGCCGCGCTCGCCCTTGCCGCCGCCGACCGTGCCGCCGCGCTCGCCCTGCGGGCCGGCTGGGCCCTGCTCGCCGTAATCGCCGGGGGCACCCTTCTGGCCCTCGAAGCCGAGCAAGCCGGGCAGACCGTCGCGGCCGGGCCGGCCCTGCTCGCCGCGCGCCCCGGGCACGATGGCGCCGCGCCGGCCGGCCGGGCCCGGGTCTCCGGCGGCGCCGGGCCCGCCGGGGCGTCCGGCGCCGCCCTCGGCGCCCGCCTCTCCCGGTGCGCCGATCGGGCCTCGCGAGCCCTTCGGCCCTGCGAAGCCCGGGCCGCCGGCGCGGCCGCTGGCGCCGGTGCGGCCCTGCGGCCCCTCGTCGCCGATCTCGCCGGGGGCGCCGGGGAAGCCCGCGGGCCCCTCGTCGCCGCTGGGGCCCGGCCGGCCCCGCGCGCCGGGAAGGCCTGTCGCGCCAGCCGGTCCGATGTTACCAGGCATGCCTGCAGAGAAGGAGATGGTGCCATGAGGTGCGATGGGACGGGCGATGACGATGTTCAGCGTGGATGTCATACGATGCCACTTATTTGCTATCATAATGTCACTATACATTTACAGCAGACCCTAAGATTTACAACTTGACTCTTAAAATATGAAAACGAAAGAATGATCACCTTCTGTGTATAACATGGGGCGGCCGAATGCTTCGAATTCTAAGGCTGAAACCAAACCCAAAAAGGCTACCAAAAGGGCTAAACGAAATGCGCTTTAGGCGTGCTTCATACGCTGAGTCGCGTAGTTCATTGCTGTAGTGTGTGACCAAGACAAAAACGCACCAGAAACGCATCTAGGTGCCAGAATTAGGCGGCACACCACCAATATATTCCCATGACGGACTCAATGGCGAGTGCTGCGCGTGACGGCGGCGCTGCGTCGCCGGCGGCCGACCTGACGTACCCATGGCACCCATGCGTCCCGGGTCGCCGCTCATGCCCGGCGGGCCGGCGGGCGCTTCCGGTCCAGGCGGGCCGGCGTCTCCCGGCTCGCCGCGCACTCCGGGCAGGCCCGGCTGGCCCTGGCGGCCGGGCTGCCCGGCGAACCCGTCGTCGCCCTGGTCGCCCCTCGGCCCTGGCAGGCCGTTGTCGCCCGCCGCACCCTGTGGAACAAGTAAGGCAGGTTACAAACGGCATCCCAAATCTAGGGGTACGCAAGCTTGCTAGACGAAACTCTCTTCCCATGAGGGTGTCAACCATAACGGTTAAGGCAGCTACCAAAGGTTTCAACCCTCATCCGCAAGGGTAAGGATAATTGCTTTGCTCAGGCAAGAGCATAGGTGACCATTAATCAGTGGGCCCTAAATTGGGTCAGGACAACTACACAACTATCAGTGTATAGTCTTACGCCGTGCTTATAGAATTAAGGGATGGTCGGTTTGATCCTTAAGAAGTGACCAGTGATCTTACTGTGCTTGTGTACAAAAAGTCGAACAATGACGACCTTACAGATCATGCAACGGTATCTTGTGGCTACATAGCCCGAAAGGTGTTCTGAAGGTGACCTAGCATCGATATCAGGTCAACCAAGGTCATCATAAGCCATTGACTGCGTTTGGCATTGAAATGGTCACTGGCCAACTAAAACGATTCGTGAGATCACCATTCTATGCCGATTTTGGATGCAAAATGTTTTGAAGTTCCCGTGAAAAGGAGCTTATGAGCGGCATTTGTCATATAAATGCGCATTTCAGCAGCCTGAAATGATCATGGACATTCAGCTCGCACGCCTAGGTAATCAAACGGACGGATCATGTGTTTTCACGTAGCAAATAACTAAGCAACCATGAATGACTTGCATGGTCTGCTAGCATCAAAACTAAATTTGTAGGAAACAGCAACTTCATCCCAGACGACTGGTGCAGTGCTCCGAAAGTCCGATCAATTAACGCTAGCCTCTGCAACGAACACGACCTCCGAGGTCACCGCCACGCTCACCTTGAACCCGGTCTGCCCGAAGGTGCCCGGCCTGCCAGGTTCTCCCCTCTGGCCAGGCAGGCCCGGCTGGCCCTCGACGCCGTCCCCGCGCGCGCCCTTCGGGCCCGGGTCACCGACGGGCCCGGTGAAGCCCGGCCGGCCGGGCAGGCCGTCCAAGCCCGGCGCGCCCGCGTCGCCGGGAGCGCCGCGCGGCGAGTCGTCGCCCGGCGGGCCGCGCAGCCCGGTCGGGCCGAGGTCGCCGTCGCGGCCTGGCTCGCCCGGCAGGCCGTCTAGGCCAGGCGCACCCTGCAGGCCCTCGTCGCCCTGGTCACCCGGAGGTCCCGGGAAGCCGGGGCGGCCCGAGAAGCCCTTCGGGCCGGCCGGGCCTGCCGGCAGCGGCGCAGCGCGTGAGGGAGCGGTCTGGCGCAGCCAGTGACGGCCAGGAGCGAAATCAGGAAAGTATTAAGGCGGCACTCACTGCCGCGTCTCGGGGACGCAAATACAGGATTACTCTGAGGAAATCAACAGGAGTCTGGCGATAGTGTCCAGCTAGATTTATAACAGGTTCACTCCGTGTCTAAGCAGAGACAACGGTTTCAAAGGACGACATGGTGTACTTTCACAATCGCTTGTTACAGATGCATGGTGATCGCCACGCCTTTGACCATTGCCGCCATCCATGTGGCGGTGTATAGAAAGGGCGTCTCAAATCACCCGATGTTCAGCGCAAAAGCGGCGTTCGTCACTCAAACAGCACACCACCGGCGGTGGCTGGCTCGGCGCCGGGGGCCGTTGAGTCACGCTCACCTGGCTGCAGAATGTCGTCGCCTCTGTCCCCCTTGGGCCCCTCCTGGCCGGGCCGGCCGGGCCCGCCCTGCCGGCCGGGCAGTCCGAACCGTCCCGGGTCTCCGTCGAGACCGCGCAGGCCGGGCAGGCCGTCCTCGCCGGGCAGGCCGGGCAGGCCCACTCCGCCGGGCAGGCCGTCCGCGCCCTTCAGGCCGGGGAAGCCGAAGAGGCCGGGCAGACCCCGCTGGCCCGTGAAGCCTGGCAGACCGGGCCGGCCGGGGATGGAGTCACCCGGCGGCCCTCGCGCCCCCTGTCGACGAGAGGGGGAGTCACCGGCGGGCCACGCGCCCCCTGTCGACGGGAGGGGGAGTCACCCGGCGGCCCTCGCGCCCCCTGTCGACGGGAGGGGAGAGTCACCCGGCGGCCCCCGCGCCCCTGCTGACGGGAGGGGGAGTCGCCCGGCGGCCCGCCCCTGCCGACGGGCGGGCCGACCATATGCAGAAAGGCTGGATCACGTGATCATCAAAATTATAAGCAACATATGGGTACAAAACAGGAATGTATTGCAATGCATTTGTGCTGTACACTTATCCAAGGAACGGCGTCTCCAGATTTTGTTTCCCTCGGACCTCCACATGGTTTTGATCAAAACTTACCAAGCGTGCGTCGCAGGATGCGTACTTGCGTCTATAGAGCACCCGAACAAGATTTTGAAAAGGCCCAACGCATGCATGTCTGTTTCATCTATTTCAGTCCCGTTATTTACGCCGTGGTAGTTACCCCATCTCTCCACAGCAATCATCCCACTGCTGTCCGCACCACAGTCGCCTCCGGCCACAATAGCATACCCGGCGGCCGGGTCGTCCGGAGAAGCCTGGCGCTCCCTTCTCTCCGAGGACGCCAGGCGGGCCACGCGGCCCCACCGGTCCCGGCGGCCCGTCCAGGCCGTCCAAGCCCGGCCCGCCCGGCTCTCCGGGCGCTCCATTGAAACCGGGTGAGCCCGGCAGGATCGGTCGGCCGTCTTCGCCCTGCTCGCCCTTGCGACCCGGCAGGCCCTGGTCGACGGAGGGGGATCAGTCGACGCTGGTCGGCGCCGGGTGAGTCACGGGGTCAAGCGAGGGTCACAGACAGCGAGAGGGCGCTGCAGACGATGTCAGGGTGAACAGAGCCAGCTGAAGAAAGTGAAGGACATGTCGGTTCACCAGTTCCGGCCGCACTGCGGGAGGCCCTCTCAGAAATGTCCACCTATGCGTTCGCCTGACGCTTTCCTGACCGTTTCCCTGCTCTGGAAGGTAGCAAATGTTGGCGCCTCCAACGCTGGGTATGAATGACGCAGCCTCTATTTAGCCTAACAAGTCTGCGCATGATGCATATAAGGGCTGTTGCAATGATCAGCATCAGAGGGAGTTGAACACGGCATGCACATCACGCACAGACGTATCAGGGGTAGTGTTTGCGCTGACTGAGCCATCACCGGCCGGCCGTGTCGCGCGCGACTCACGTCGAGGCCCTGGCGGCCGGGCGCGCCGGGGCGGCCCGGGGCGCCGGTCGGACCCGCGTCGCCACTGAGGCCCGGGTAGCCCTTGAGGCCGTCCGCGCCGCGCAGGGATCGGCCAGGGAAGCCGGGCAGGCCGCGCAGGCCGGGCACGCCTGGGTCGCCGGCGAACCCTGGCTGACCCTTCAGCCCCGGCAAACCTGACGGCGACCGGTGCAGACCGTGATGGGGGCGGGGGTGAAGGGGTGCGCGAGGTGATGTCTGGAAACGCTTGGGGTTACTGGTGCGGCTAAAAGCTCAGTGGAAAGCGCACTGTGCGGGAAGCTGCGTAACTGGTAAGGGTGGTAGGCACTACAAATATCAGACAACAAAAACGAACAAGAAATAACATTTTTAGTGACTGAAAGTTAACATAAAAATGTCATGCAAAAAGGCTCAGTTTGATAACCAACTAACGTTTTTATGAAACCTTGTGTTGCATTTGATCCTTATGGACAAAATTGAACCATTGCGGATAACGATGCACAACATACGGATTTCCTCAATAGGCACAACTTCCGGCCCAAAGGTGTGCAAATTTGTGTTGACAAATGAGCATCTCTCAAAGATTCAATCCCCCAACATGTCCAACAACCCCAGCTTCTGATACACATGCGTTTCTCCGACGGCGGCCGCCGACCAGCGCTCTGCCGGTCCCCAGCGCCACCCACCAGGCCGGCCGACGTCGCCGTCCTCGCCCGTTTCGCCGATGCGCACGGGCAGGTTGGAGTCGCCGGGCTCGCCGACTAGGCCCTCGTCGCCCTCCTCTCCGATCTGACCGCTGAAACCCAACGGAGTCGTCTGCAGGCGCGTTCAAGCTGGATGCGGGACCGGCAGGTCCTTGGAACCATCGGCCAGCAGGGACATTGCACGCGATGCTCACTTACGTTCAGTAGTGGCGCACTAAATCGTTGTTTAATGAATGCTAGATTGCTGATTTGTAAGTTTACACGACTATGGACGTAATCCTACTTCATTCTGGTATCGATTTTAGTCCTTGAAAAATTGAGCAGCCGAGAATAGGACTCGTAACGCCTCATTCGCAATTTAAGAAATGATCGCTACTCGTGTGGGCTGAAAAGTGTATGCAGGTTGGCGAAGTAGCTAACTGGCTTCCGTGGCCGCGGAATTCCATTAGTTCTTTTTACGTTAGCGTCTTTAAGTAGGTATCTCAACTGGCAGCACATCTTATATCGTGAGTTCGGAGCCCTTATCCTGAGGAATCAACCTTCAATATATTGCAACAGTTATATTACATGATTATATATAGTGTTACTATTAGTATTACTATTAGCATAATATTACTATAAGTATTATTATTGGTATCGTATGTTAGTGTTATATATATATATATATATATATATATATATATATATATATATATATATAGTATTATAGCAGTTATAATGTAAATATTGGATATATTGGCAGAGCTAGACGTTTAAAGCTGGGCGTATGCTTACGAGTAAGTCGTGACTTCTACGAAATCTGATATGCACAGCTATGATAAACGGGAGCGAAGTCCATCGTTTGTTGTCAGGTTTATCAAAACATCCGGTGTATGTTGTTTGTGAGGCATTTTGTTTCTTCGTTACTTCCGCCCATTTGTCATCGTGGGTCAGGCATTTAGCCCCGTGAACGAAATCGTTGTGTGACAGAAAAGTGAAATGACGAATAAGTAAGCGATATTTTGACAGACTTCATCGAATGTCGTGTGTTTCGCTCCTGCTTATCCCAGTTTTCATGCCTGAAAACTTCGTACCAAATCCCATTCTTGTCTGATAACGCCAGCGTGAAAAGAGCGACTGAGAAGCAAGAAGCGCCTAGCTCCAGGTAACATAATTGTAAATTTCCTCCACATTCTCGCCACACTGCCCCTGGCCTACAGAGCGTCAGCATAGCGTCGTTGGCTCACTCACCGGAAGCCCTCTAAGCCCTTGTCTCCGACTAGCTGCGGCAGGAGGCTGCGGTCGGCGTCCAGGCCGGGCCGGCCCGCCAAGCCGTCCACACCATCCGGACCAGGCGGCCCTTGGTCACCGTACTCGCCCTGGGGACACAGTGCGGTCAGGGACGGAGTCCAGGTCCGGAGGCCCTTGGCCACCGTACTCGCCCTGGGGGCACAGTGTGGTCAGGGACGGGGTCCAGAGCTGGCGGCTCCTGGTTACCGTAGTTACCCCGAGGGCACAGCGGCCACGGTCGGCCTCTGACCACTCCGCGTTCCATACAAGGACTGTGCGCCACGGTCTCCCTCAGTGTTTCGGCTCTGAAAAAGCCAGTGAGGGAGACAGAAAGGGATAGGTTGAGAGAGAGAGAGGAGAGAGAGAGAGAGAGAGACGAGAGAGCAG